TTCTGATTATAATTGTTACAACGTTTATTACAATGATTCATCTGTATGTTCAGGAAAGGGAGCTTGTGTTAAACCAAATAATTGTTCCTGTCAAAATGGATACTCTGGAGAAAGTTGTCAGACTTATTACTGTTATGGAACGTTCAACAATAATACTGGTGTATGTTCTGGAAATGGTGTTTGCTCCTCATCAAATGTTTGCACATGTAAATCAGGTTATTATGGTAACATGTGTGAAAATTATGATTGTAATGGAAAACTCTATAACAATTCAGGAGTTTGTTCTGAAAAAGGAAGCTGTGTTTCACCAAATAATTGTTCTTGCATTGTAGGATATGGTGGTGATGATTGTGACAAATTCCAATGTTTTGGTTTGTTATCAAACGATTCTAAGGTTTGTTCTGGTAATGGTAAATGCAATGGTGCTGAGATTTGCTCATGTAATTCAGGATACTATGGACAACAATGCGAAAATTTCAATTGTTCTAATATTTCAAAGAATAGTTCCTCAGTTTGTTCTGGTTTTGGAGTATGTTCTTCTCCAAACAACTGCACTTGTTTCTCTGGATACAATGGCACCAATTGTCAAACTTATCAATGTTCTGGTTTTGATTATTCTGATCCATTAGTTTGTTCTGGAAAAGGAAGTTGTATTTCACCAAATAATTGTTCTTGCATTGCAGGATATGGTGGAAATAATTGTGAAAAATTCCAATGCTATGGATTGTTATCAAATGATTCTAAGGTCTGTTCTGGTAATGGTAAATGCAATGGAGCTGATATTTGCTCATGTAATTCAGGATACTATGGACAACAATGCGAAAATTACAATTGTTCTAATATTTCAAAGAATAGTTCCTCAGTTTGTTCTGGTTTTGGAGTATGTTCTTCTCCAAACAACTGTACTTGTTTCTCTGGATATAATGGCACCAATTGTCAAACTTACCAATGTTCTGGTTTTGATTATTCTGATCCATTAGCTTGTTCTGGAAAAGGAAGTTGTATTTCACCAAATAATTGTTCTTGCATTGCAGGATACTCTGGATCAAACTGTGGTACTTATTATTGTAACTCAGTCGTCTATTCTGATAAGAATGTTTGTTCTGGAAGAGGCTCGTGCACTCAACCAAACAAATGTAACTGTACCTCAAGATATTCTGGATCTAATTGTGAAAGCTTCTCATGTTTTGGATACAACTTTAATTCCTCTTTGGCTTGTTCAAGCAATGGTTCCTGTATTGCGCCAAATATTTGTAGCTGTAAATCAGGTTTCAATGGATCAAACTGTGAAAGTTACTCTTGCCATGATATTCAATTCAATTCATCCAATGTTTGTAGCGGATTGGGCTCATGTGTTTCTCCAAACAACTGTAATTGTTCAAAGAATTATTACGGATCCACATGTTCACAATTCAATTGTTATGGAATCAATTATTTGAACTCCACAGTCTGTTCTGGAAATGGTAAATGTTTGGACTACAATACCTGTAATTGTACAGCTAATTGGTTTGGACCATCTTGTTCAGTAACAAAATGTTTTGGTATCAATTCTAACAACACCTCTGTTTGTAATGGAAAGGGAACATGTACTGGTAATGATATCTGTTCATGTAATGCAAACTATTTCGGAACTAAATGCGAGCTCACTACTTGCAACTCAGTTTCATCTAATTCCAGCAACGTTTGTTCATCTAAGGGTACTTGTATTTCTTATAACGAATGTAGCTGTCAATCTGGATACTCTTCTACCGATTGTAGCGTCAACCTCAATCCATTAGTTATTTCTTTGAAAAAATCATCAGGAGTTTACTATCAAAATGTTACTTCTGTTTCATTGGAAATAATATCAGACGAATTTTCCTCTCTCGCCAGCTCCAATCTGGTTTACCAATGGATTTGTGAAAATTGCCAAGGTAATACAAACACTTCAACTCCATTTAACCAAACTAATGATAGAATACTTATGGTTAATCCATCAGAACTCAAGGCTCCTGCTTTGTACATTTTCTCGGCTAATGTTTTCTATACTAATCCAAAAGGTTTTGCTAGTCGTGTATCCAACACTGTCAAATTTAATATGACTGTCTTGGTAGTACCGGTTGTTGATGTAAATGTTCCTTCATTGGACATTTTTGGTTTGCCTTCAGTTTATGTAGGAAAACAACTTGCTGCTGGAAAAGCTATTGAGGCTGTTGTTTCTAAAGTGGCATTGAATCAATCAATTGTTCAATCATTCTTGGGATGTGAAGGAAATTGTTCTTCTTCCTTGACTTTCTCTTGGAGTGTATCAATGATGGTCAAGAGTACTCTCACTAATATTTTCAAATCAACTGGTCTTATTACTGGTTATACACGTCAAGGTAATTCCTTATTGTTTACCCCAGCAATTACATTGAGTACAACCAACTATATTTCAGGCAGTTCTTATGTTGTTATTTCTTTAGCAATTTTCAATTCTGCTAACAAGAATATGACTGGTTCTGTAACTATCCCAATTATTTCTGCTGCTTCTGCCCCAGAAGGTGATTTGGTAACTTTGGATAGAACATCAGGATATGCACTCACTGATTATTTCACAATTACCTTTAATCAGTGGGCTGCAGCTGAGCAATTACAACCTTTGCAATATGCTATCGGGTTTACTGATCCAACCTCTTTGAAACAAATTAGATTGACTGAGTATTCTGCAAATCTGACAATTTCTACCTACTTGCCGTATATTAGTACAGACAAGAAAGTAACAGTGGGATCTCTTGGATTACTTGTTTATGTAAAAGATTCTCTTGGAAATAGTGATTTACTTGAGACTCTTTCTGTAAATGTAACTGCATTTAATGGAACATCTTCTCAATTATCATCTAGAATTGGTGAATTAACAGGAGTGGCTGTAACAGTGGCCTCATACGATCAATCGTATTTGGTTGCTTCCTCTGGAAGTGGTGGTAACGCTGATTTGGTTTCACAAATTGTCCAAAACATTAAGATAGATCCAACTAATCCTGCTACTGCTTTGTCAAGTTTCCAAGCCTTAACTTCTTCCTCTGACTCGGTTAATGACAAGGTAGTTGACCAAGTAACAACCAAGATGAGTAGTTTCGCTGATTCTCTTACAGATTTATACAAGAAGGAAATTGAGCAGTACGGATACGTTAGATCCAAAATTTCACAAGATGATGTTAAATCAGCAATTGAAATTTCAGGCAACTTACTGCAATCTGGTGTTGGTGCTGATAAAACGACAGAGGTTACCAGTAAGATGGCCGCACTTGTCTTACTCTCTCAAGTTCCAACAGTATTGGACTCATCATCCTCTGAACTTCCTGCCGTAACAATCAGTACTCCTCTCATCAATATTACAATTTCTAGCTTCAAATTGAGTGGACCAACATCAGGCAATCAAACTCTCTCATCAGGAGACAGTTCTATTGGAATGGACATATCCAGTATCTTGGCCAAATATGATGGTTTCTCAAAGAGTGCTGGTACATCTTTAATTTCCTATCAAAATCTTCCATTCTCCAATAACTTTACTGAAAGTACTCCTTCCACATCTATTGCTAATGACTTCAAGTTCTTACAAGAGGGAAGCGTTTTACCATTGGCTAACTTGACAACTCCAATCATTCTCTCCTTCAAATTGAACTTGGATTTGTCTACTGTTTCCAATTATTCTTCCAATACATCAACCTTTGCATGTAGATATTATGACGAACGTAGTGGAGCTTGGAGCACAGACGGATGTACATTGGTGGGCTATAATCCTGCTACTCAAATGATTGATTGTGCCTGTACTCACACCACAATGTTCTCCACATTCTTGGAACAAAAAACAATAGAGATGACACCAATTGTTAAGCAGGTAGTAACTGGATTGTATAGTGCTCAAATTGCATTCGGTATCTTTTACTTTGTAATGTCTACTATCATCCTAACATTATTAATTATCTTTAGAAAGGAGCAACCAATTTCCTCTCGTTTGGGAACTCCATACTTGGGTATGATTGCTTTGATCATTGAAAGTGTTTTGGTTTATATCATCCAAAGAAGTGTTCTAGTATCTCAACTCTACTCTGGTAATTCTCAAATGTGGGAAGCTGGTGATACAGCTGCTAATGTGATTGCTAATATTGTTGCTATTCTTGTCAACACACTCAATTTGACGGCTATTCTTTCATATGTATTACAAGTATTCAGATTCCAATTTATGAAATATTTGTATCAATTAATTGCCAAGACAAGAGGAGACGAAAAGAAGAGCGAAAGAATATTCAAAATGCTTCGTTACACCACCTCTACTGCTTTATTTGTAACCATTGTTTGCGTTTTTGCTGGCATCAATTTGCTCTATTGGACATTATGGGTCATCCTAGTTAGAACTGGAGCCATTAGCTCAGCAGCTTACACCTACATTGTTTCTATTTCCTACACAACCACAGTATTTGTATTTAGTGTAATGATTATTCTGGTTACCATATTTGACTTTGTAGGATCTCATAAACAAGAAAAGGAAAGAGTAGCAAGAGCATCAAGCAAACGTAAGGAGCCAACATCTGAGTTTGATGTTAATACCATTAACTTTAAGAAAAATTACACAAATCCATTCAAGAAACTCTATACATGGTTTATTTCATTGGACGGTCCTCTTTATTTCAGAATGGAAATGATGCTCTACATTTTGTGCTTTATTTTCCTCTTCTTCAATCAAGTACTTGGTCTTAGTAGTTTATCATTCAGATTCCAATCTGAAGAAATGTTCCAAAAAGCCCTCGTTACAGATATGGTTTCATTCATCTTTGAAGTTTTGTACGTGTTCACCTACATGTTAACATTTGGTGGTTATGCTCTGTTGGTATTGGCAAACTACAAGATCAAAGGAAAGGTCAGAAACACGGAAAGAGCTAGCGAGCCAGAAAATAGACAATCATCCAATGATGAAATTATCAACAAGGATATGAGCGTCGTTTTGGATAATGAGGAAGGTTATGGACTCTTTGAAGTTTTCTGTGAAAAGGAGTTCTCATTGGAGAATATTTATCTTTTTACTGATATCAAAACAAACAAATCATTCTTGGATAGTAATGACTTGGAAAGGCTTCCAAAGTTCTCCAAGTATATTTATAACAATTATATCAAGACGAATGCACCAACAGAAGTCAATATTCCATCCAAATGTAGAAATGCATTCCTCTTCCTCTACAAGAGCATTATCAAAAAGAATGAATCTTATGAATTATTCTCTGTGGATATTGAAGCTGTTGATCAAGATATCAAGGTTGCCACAAAGAATGCTCCTGTTCCAGTTATAGAAATTGAAGAAAAGGTTGTGAAGGAAACATTTGAAAACTTGAATCGACAAATTCTCATCAATCTTGGTGATACCTTCTCTAGATTTGTCTTTACCTCTGAATATACAGTATTCAATAAGGCTCACACTCTTCAACAACAATTATTGGAAGAAGCCAATGTTGTTTATATAGTATAAATAAATGTCAATGCATTCATTAAACAAAAAACTGTTAGCAGTAAGGATGATTGAATCCAATTCGATGCAGCATAAGGTAAGAACATGACATCATTCACAGTATCTTCCTCACCTTCAATAGCAAGTTTAAATTGGTCAATATCATTCACTGATCTATGAATGCATAATGTCAGATCTGGATCATAATAATATCCCTTCTCTTCAGGATAATAAATAAAATCCCTCTTGATGATAGCCACAGATCCTCTCTTACAAGATCTATATGGAGGTTTACACTTGCCCATTGACGACACTGTACTATTCTCAAAGACAGTGTTCAAAGTTTCAGAAGAGGCTGCTACATATCCCTCAATAGTTAAACTCAGATAATTATTGTAAATTCCATTGGTTGCAGATTCATGTGAAAAAGCACCACCTGCAAACAATTGATCTCCACTCACCACAAGTTGTTTCACACCTCTCCTACTTGTCTGATTGGCAGTTAGGAATTCAACTGATGGTGCAATCAATTTGGTTGGTTTTTTAAAATGTCTCACATAATTAACACTCTTCGATGGCTTGAATAGAAACATGTACTGCTTAGGAACTGTGAATTGACCTCCCACAACAATGATATCCTCATAAATATGATTATTCTGAATTGAAATGGTAGTTACTGGACCATCCAATTGTCCCTGAAGAAGAGTTTCCCATTTCTGATCCTTATATCTTTTGAAATATCCATCAAAATCACCTCCAACGTACAAATACGAATCATCATGATACAGAGCAGCTCTCAATGAATTTGCCCTAATTCCATTAAACGAAGATCCATTCAAATTATTTCCTCCAGCATACACTTCCCATTTCAAACTCTTCGTATCCAACATGACAATATTATTCAAATTTCTAATACCAGCTGCCTTTGTAAATTTACCAACCATTACAATACTTGGTTGACAACTTTTTACAAAATTTGAAAAGTACAATTCAATATCCATAATCTCAGCTCCATCCGACCATTCCCCCATACATATATCTCTATCAAATACACCCAACGATTGCCACTGATTTTGAGTTGTGTTTCCTCCACTACTCGCCAATAATTTCACAGCAATGGGTCCACTTTTCACTCCATCAATGGTTGTGAATTTTCCTCCGATAAACATCATATCACAACGAGGTTCATAATAAATTACGTTAATGGGGCCATCAGGTGGGATATTATAAAATGCTGACAGTTCATTGTTTTTTGTATTGTACAGTGCAAGATTTTTAATAAAGTGATTGGTGACAGATGAGTCTGATGTTCTGGATTTCATGGTGAATGAGCCACCCAAGACGAATTGTTCGCAGTGGATTGAAGATATGATGAGGATTATAATCGAGAACAGTGAGATGATGTGTGGCAGTTGATGTGATGACATTTTTTTTTGTGATTATTGACAGTTTAACTTGTTAAAATTGATTACAACCATTTTCAATAAATATCATAATCTGTTTACAATTTCTTTGTTAATTTAATTAATTGGTAAAAAAAATTTAAAAAAATGGAACTAAACAAGACGAAACCTTTCGACAAAATGGAATTTGTAAATTCAGAAGGTTTGTTTCAGATAGTGAATATTTAAAAAAAATTATTAGAAATATTTTCGGATGATGCTTGTTTCGAAATATTTTCCTTTCTTTCCGATAATCCCAAATTTCTTATTAGAAACTGTGCTCTCGTATCCAAACAATTCCTAAAAGTCATCCAAGAACGATCAAAATTTTCACTTTCAATTGACAGTAAAATGGTCAACCGAATCCAAAGTCAATTTCTAAACTGTTTCGAACAAGTAGAGTTTCACAATATGAAAATTAAACCATGGTGCAGTATTCTAATGAATATGAAAAAATTGAAAACTCTTTCCATTGCATACATTGGAATGGATGAAGAGGACATTAAATCAATTTGTAATATGAGACAGTTGACTGATCTTGATGTTACTGGATGTTCTATTGGAAAAGGCCAAGGTGCATCTACATTGGTTACATTTATTGATCAACTGCAACAATTGACTAGACTTGTAATATCTTGGAATAGAATTGGAATTGAAGGAGCTAAAGCAATTAGTCAACTGAAACAATTAACAGAGCTGGAGATCAATCAAATTGGACTAGAAGGAACTAAAATTATTAGCGAATTGAATCAGTTGACCAGTCTGAATATTGCTAATAATAAAATGGGAAAACAAGGAGCTAAATATATAAGTGAAATGAAACAATTGACTAAACTTGACATTGGAACGAATCAACTCGGAGTGGAAGGAGTTCAATATATCAGAAAATTGGATAAATTGACTGCTTTAAGTGTCTTTAATAATGTCATTGGTTTCAGGGGTGCTATGTTATTAAGAAAAATGACTCAATTGACCGAACTAAATATCAGTACCAATGCGATTGGTGATGTAGGAGCCAAGTTTGTGAGTGATTTACCTAATCTCGCTATTCTAAACCTTTCATTCAATAGTATTAGTTATGTAGGAGCTCAATTTATTAGCAAATTACCAAAATTAACTGAATTGAACATGAATCAAAATGATTTAGGTAATGAAGGAGTCAAATTCATAAGTGGAATAATTTCTCTGACAAATCTTTCCCTTCAAACGACTAGAATTGATGAACATGGAGTCAAGTTTATTTCTGAAAAATTGAAACAATTAAGAATTCTTAAACTTTGTGAAAATAATATTGGTGATGCAGGAGCCAAGTTTCTAATAACTCTTGAAAAGTTAACAGATCTTTCTCTTTATTCAAATAATATTGGATACGAAGGAGCAAAAGCCATTTCAACAATGAAAGCATTAACCCATCTTCGAATTCATGGAAATCCTATTGGAATTGAAGGAGCAAAGGAAATTTATGAACAACTGAAAGAATTGAAAGAGTATTGTCTAGATCAGTATTAATCGTCCAAAAGTTTGAAAGTATTAGACAATGGAAACTTGTATCATTCTTCTGGGCCAAACAACAATGTTGTTTATGTTACTTCCAACAATTTCCATTTCAAAATTCATCATACCTTAATATTAGTCCAATGTAGAGAGTTTCCAATTCTTATCTTTTTGGAAAGGAGGGAAATACTTGCATATCTCCAAGTCTGCAACTACTTGTACTGTGGAAGAAAAGCTGTGAACCTTCTCGGATGATATTAGTAATGATTTAAAGAAGAATTACCTTCATCATGGTTTTCTTGTTCAACATCAACACATTCATCTTGATCTCTGTTCATCGTGATGAAAATAATAAAATTAATATTATTGATGATGTTATTCTTGAAAGGAAGTGTTTGCAGCTGTTTGATTGTTGTAGCAATATAGATAATGTGTGCTTTTTATACATCAACTCATCAAAAGTTGCAATATATATAAATTTAATCATTGCCTTTCCAAGTCCACAATTCAAGTCCAAATCCTCCAAATTCATATACCACTGCTTCCAAACTATCCTATCATGTTGTACAATTAATAGTTTTTACGATGATGAAGAATTGCCTTTGAAAATCATCAAAGGAACAAGACAAATAAATTCTTTGCTGTATTTTTTTGATGTTGAACAACCGCTGTTAAAAAATTTTCAAAAAAAAACTTGTATTATGTGAGAACAATAATCGTTTGGCAGTTGGTAGAACCACTTCATCAAATATCGTTCCAATCATCATCATCAATGCAAGGTATCAACTGGCTATTTTATTGGTGTACAAAAAGACTCATGCTACTAACATGAAGATGTCCGTAGTCTATTTGTTAATTCACCAAATCTAATACCAAAGGGTCTCGCCGCCTACTCTTCACATGATGAATATATAATGTCAAATTCAGCAATTATCAAAGAAGAAATAATTATAACAATTACTACCACATATTAATAATAAATAATCAAAAATTCCGTCATCACAAAAATGCGTCGAAGTTCTACTTCATCGGAAGCCACTTCATCACATCAACCAGTTTCCCTCGTGCAAAATGCCATTAGCATTGCAAGGAATTTAATATCATCATTGGAATTGTTGGGAGTTAAAGTTACTGTACATTATCCTCCGGAATTGGCAAGTCTTTCTAATGCACAGCAAGATGATCAAGAGGATGAAACTGCTCCAAAGAAGGTTATTCAATTCACAAAGGAAGTAAAGGATAAATTGAAAGCCTTCTTTGAGAGTTATCCTACATTGGTTGAAAAGTTCTTTGATACCGATGACTTGATCTCGATATTTGTCAAGATGAATGGATTAACAATTACAAATGAAGTAATTTTCAGAAATCGAAATAGTAAAGCGGTTTTGGATATGATAAAGGATGTGGAAAAAAAACCAAAGACTATATATCAACAATCATCATCATTGTCGAGTGCTAATCAATCAGGAAAGAAGAGATTCTTAAAGGAACACAAGGTAGCTCTGATTGATTTCTTTAAGGATTACAAGTCATTGGCCTCGACTAAATTCTTTGAATCGACAGATTTAATTCGCCTATTCATTGATTATAGTCATTTCAGTGTTCCTGTGGAGGTGGAAATTATTCAGAGACAATCTAAGCATGCTTCTCTTCTTGAAGCTATTCAAACTTATGGAATTAAGGATGATACTATAGTTTATAGTGATTCGCCTGGCTCTAAAAAGAGAAAACAAGACGAATTGGTTTCTACACCAGTTTTTTCACAACCTTTGATTAAGAAGAATAAGTACATTTAACATTCTTCATAAATTATTTTCTTTCCCGTGAATTGAGCCTCTATAATGTTCTCAACATTTCACCTAATCTTTCGGAAATTTCTCCAAAATCTGGCCTTTCTTGAGCTTTTCCACTCCAACATTCAATCATCAAATCGATAAATAATGAAAATACGTTCGAAACAATTTGAACATCCATCTCTGGTTCTCTAGGAAGAACAAATTCCTCTATCCAAATATACTGCTCTTCTAGGGATGAAAATGGAATGGTAGGTCTCAATCCCTTTACCACTTTAGTTGGAATATTGAAAGGATTTTCAGTGTTAGTATTGGGTGTGATGAATCTGTAAATCTTTTGCGATTTGTGATTTAAATAAGGAGATTCTTCAAACATCAGCTCGTACATGATGATTGCAAAACTATAGACATCGAGCTTGGTTGAGAATTCACTTGGACTGTCTGCACCTAGAATCTCAGGACTATTGTTATTCTTATAACCAAAGTTAAATTAAACAACTCACCTCATGTAAAATAAAGTTCCCAGTGCTGTAGTCATTGTGTTGGTAGAATTTCCTCCTATAATTTTGGAGAGTCCAAAATCTGTTACCTTACTTGATAAATTATGATCAAGCAAAATGTTTCCAGGTTTCAAATCTCTATGTATGATACTATATGGTTTAAGAGAGTGTAAATAGTTCATACCGTTTGCAACTCCAAGAAGGATATTCACTTTTTGTTTCAATTTGAGTATTTGAGCTCCAGTTCTAGATTGATAAATTGCCCTGTCCAAGCTTCCTCTTGGCATGTATTCCACAATCATGTATTTAATATTTCCACTCATACAAACGCCAAAACTGGTGACAATATTTGGGTGTTTAAGGGATTTCAATAATGCTGCCTCCTTTTCAAATTCCTCATTCTCCTCTTCCGTAACATATTCCAATTTCAAGCTCTTCATAGCAACTTCAGTGCCAAGCCATTTCCCGAGGTATACGATGCCATTTGCTCCTTCAGCAATTTTTCGAACAATATCAATATTTTCTATTGGAATTAAATAGTTTTGCTCTGCTTGCATCCTAATTTTCTCCTTAATTTTTCTATTCTTTCCAGATGAAGAGGATCCTTGACTGTTGGCATAATAGCTTCCCAATAGTGACGTCTTTAGATCTGTTGATGGATTCAACTCATTGTTTTCTGAAAAGATAACTTGCTTATCAACAAGACGCTGAGCCAAGTTCTTTTCAGCCTTCTCCTTTTTCTTGAGACGTTTCAACTTTTCATTAATATTCCAACCTAGATATATTATTAAAATTCCCAACAAGATTCCAACAATGAACAATATTATACTTGAAAAAATAGCTGGTAAAATGATATGGAGTGGTGGATCAGGATTTTTGAGGCACAATCTCTTGCTTGTTTCTGATGCAGAATAATTAACTAATGAATAGCCATCTGGGCATGGTATGATTTTGACAGTAATGTTAACATTTGCTTCTCCAACATAAAATGAAGCCACAGCTGAGGTGGTATTGTGATTAGTAACTTGTAGAGAGATGGTGAATGTGGTATTTTCAAAAAATGTCTGAAATGCTACTCCAGGATCTGAGCTCGCTATTACTGGTTGTGTTTGCAGCTTTTGTAAAGTATTATTGAACCCATCCATAATAGTCAAAGCTATGGATGCTTTCTGACCTGGATATACTTCAAGGGAGCTTGGTTTGACGTCCACAATTGTTAATTTAGAAGAACCTAATGCATTTGGAGAGTTCTTTAAAATTTTTAGAAAATCATGTTCTTTCATATCTTGTTTCGAATAAAAACAATCTCCATAAAAGGTTGCAGAGTTTTCTAAACAGTTCAGTACTAAAATCCATGATTTCCAGAATTCATTGTCATCATAAATATCAACATAAATTGCGCCTCCATCTCTTGCATAGTTTCTACGGAAAGTGTTTTTAGAGTCAATATTTAAAAGAATTGGGTTTTGAGCATAGATGGCTCCTCCTCTTCCACAAAATGGAGTGGGACATGAAGGAGAATAAAAAGCATGATTTTCTTCAAAGATGCTGTTGAGTATGTTCAATTCACCAGAAGTGGAAAAAATTGCACCTCCTGCTTGAGCAATATTTGCATAAAATTCACAACGAAATATTTCACTAGTTGTGTTGGGAAGAGTTATGGCACCACCATTTACTCCAAAGTTTCTTGAAAATGTGGATGATATAATATGGACTCCAGTTAATACATCTCCCAAGTTAACTATTTCTCCAATATATACAGCCCCCAAATTATTACTAAATAACGATTTTCTCGTATGGAAGAAACCAGTTTCGTCCACATAAACTGCTATATTGTTATTGGAAAGAAATTTACACTGGTTAATGTGAATATAGCTCGATAATATTGATTCTATAATTCCCTTACTCGATGAGTCGTATGGACTCTCACTAATGACACTGTTCTCTAGAGATAAGAGAATAGTTCCTTTCAATCGTAGCCATCTCACAGTTTCGTATACTGTACAATTATTGATTTCCAAAGCGGATAGGTAAACAGCAGTTAATTGAGATCTCTCGAATCTGCTATTTTCAACTGCTACCATTGACAATCTATTCAACTCTATTGAACTATCCACAAATAAAGAATTATTAAGAGTATTAACTGTCAGAAATCTTGATTTCCAAAAATACAGATCATGAAAGAAAACTTTCAAATCACTTTCAATCATGACAAATTTGTCAATATCCACTACACTAGTAGTCTCAAAATTAGAGTTCCTAGAAATTGAGTTTCGTATTACTAACTTTCCAGTTTCAATTTTTTCATCTCCATTCACTGAATTAATGTTACAATTCACAAATCCTACTGTATTCAAATTTTTCACATCATATTTGTAAAGGTTAAAGTAATGAAAATAGACATTTGTAAATAATAATCTCATGTTGCAATTCATATAGGAATATTGATTAGGATCTTGACCTATCAGCCGCATTGTTAATAAATTACTTGTGGAGGAATTCGATCTGTCAGTCCCATCAAAACAATCTGTCAAATTGCCAATCACATAAACATCAATACTATCCGTCTTGTAAACTAAATTTTCATAGAAATAATTTAAAATTTGTGATCCTTTCGTACAAGGATTCGAAATATTATTACAATTTAAAGATGATGCATTATTAATGGTCGGAATATTAGTATTTAAATAAAATATATTTGGAATAGTGCTGCTGTTATTACTAATAACAACACCACTGGCATCGGAATCATTCAACAATATTTGATTTGAATTTTCCATCATCATTTGATCATCATTTTCCCAACTACTCAAGGCTTTCCTCCTCATATAATTTAGTACATTTTCGTGATCATCACGTATTCGAAATTTATCATTGTTCAGTAATAATTCGGAGGAAATAAAATTGCCCTCCATCACAATGATCATCATTATCAAACATAACATCATCAGAACATGCAGTGAGCGTGTGAGGGCTTTGATTTGGAGAGACATTTTTTTTTGGATGTTTGGAATTGAGCGGGAAATTTTTGTTAAATTAACATACTAATTTATCGAATACTAACAGTTCAAAGAAATTCAAAATGTTTGGTGTTAAAATTCATGAAGAGCAATTGGCAAGAGTGGAGTTTCAAGATTGTCACACGTATTGATGATGTAATTTTCAATTTGCATTTTTCAAAAAACAATCAAAAAAAAATTCGAAACTGAAAATGAAATCTTACACTCACTCCATCGAAACAGATAAAATCAAAAAGGGAAGTTATCTTCTCATCAATGGAAATCCTTGCAAAATATTGACTTGTTTACAAAAAACAGGAAAACACGGAACCAAAAAAGCTTATTTATGTGGAGTTGATATTTTCACCGGAGATTCATATGAAACAATTCAATTTGCAAAAACAACACAGTATGTGCCGATTGTGGAGAAGAAAAATTATAAATTTGAAAGTTTATATTCGGAGGAGGAATGGCATTACGTGAAAGTTTCGAATAATGAAGGAGAAATTGTGGAATTTATGGTGAAGAATGATAAAATTGTGGAAATATTAATGACTGGCTGTGAATCGAATATGGAATTTTATGTAAATACTATTTGTGGTATGGGAATTGAAGAGGTGACGAGTGTGGAAACTAGACTAATCTCACAAGAAGCTCAACAAATTCAAACAAATGAATAACAAATTGAAATTTAGGTATTTTTAAATCAACCCATTAACAGGTCTATTTATTCTCAAGATGGTAAATCACAATCTGGAATACCTTCTTTCAATGCTCCAAGATTCATTTGCTTCTAAATTGTTCATTGATTCAGAT